TTTTTTTTTTTTTTGTGTGTGTGTGTGGTTGTTGTTGTTGTTGTTGCTGTTGCTGTTGTTGTTGTTGTTGTTGTTGTTGTTGTTGTTGTGCATGTGTTACACGTTTGCCGCAGCTGTCATCGGGGCTGAAAGAACACACCTAGAGTTCAGTGAGGCTTGTAAGGTAATTATCGGCAATCATCTATGCATGTCGCAGCCTGCAACACTTAATCGGACCCCAAAGCTGACTCATAATTCTTTTACGCAGCAATTGTTGGAAGTCTTCGCTCTTGAGTGCTTGGACCGCTCAGTGCCTCTAAGCTTTCTTGCGGGCATGCGCAACAGCTTGCGATTTGAGAGCAAGCGTAATATAGGGGCCTTAAGAATTAGAATATAGGGTTTTGGCGCCCATTATACTATAACTATAATAAGGAGCCCCCCACAAAAAAAATAGTATAAATTTTTATTGAGGCCCCTGTATTAGAAGTTGGACTCTTCGGTAGGCCGCCTACTTTGAACAAGAAGCATTCTACGGTGTAAACTCAAACTCTGCCATCTGCAGCTTCACCCCAGGCACGAAGGGAGATTTGCCTTTTTGGGGTGTGTAGTCCCAGGGAAGCTTCTGCATGAAGCTTTCTGAGACTACCTGAGACTACCTAAACCCTAACTCCTTGACCCTAAACCCTAAACCTTACTCCGGATCCTTTCCCTCAGGGACTGGCTCATGGTGGACCGCCAATCGAGCTCAAGGCGGGCCTACGGTTTTTGGCTCGGTGCTGTTTCGGGGCTAAGCTTAAGGCTTAAGGGTTCAGGGTTTAGGAGTTCAAAACATTTCGTGGTTTCGGCGCTCACACTCGTTTCGTTGTTTAGGGTTTAAGGGTTTAAGATTTAGGGGTTTCAGCTCTCACCACTCTGACTAGGTTCAGTAATCTTAAGGGTTCACGAGTTTATGAGCCTTTCTGGTTACTGGCTCCGTCGTCGCAAGCCACCGCAAGAACGGCAGGTGCAGGTCCAGAAGTCAGCGACATGAGACGAACAGCAGAGAAGGAGCTGCATCTCTTGCGTGACAGGCTCTTCAGCTAGACTTAGACTCCGCACACCAGGCAATGTGCGAACAAACGTCCCAAAACCTTGGAGTTTATTGAGGAAGGGTATGACTACAATGAGTACTTAATAATAACACTGAGAATACAAGTAAGGTATCTAGAGCCTGTAGCAGACTCTAGCAGAAGAAGTCAATTGTAGCGCCTCGAGCTGTAGATAGCTACTGTGATGACTCGAACTGTACCTCTTCACAATTAGAATAGGGTTTTGGGGGGGCCCATTATACCAGAAGCATAATAAGGAGCCCCCCAAAATGGTATAGGCAATGATTTAGGCCCCTATATTAACCGCGAAGCCCCCTAAATCCTAAACCCTAAATCGGTACCCTACAAACCTTGCACCCCCAAAAGCCCAAAAAGCCCTAAACCCTAAACCCTAAACCCTACAAATCTTGAACCCCAGATCCTAAACCCTAAACCCTACAAATCTTGCACCCCAAAAGCCCAAAAAGCCCAAAGCCCTAAATCTGTACCCTACAAACCTTGAACCCCAAAAGCCCAAAAGTATAGGTAATGATGCAGACCCCTATATTAACCCCAAAATCCCAAAAAGCCCAAAGCACCCTCAACCCTAAATCCTAAACCCTAAATCCTAAACCCTTTTTCCTAAACCCTACAGAACTTGAACCCCAAAATCCCAAAAAGCCCAAAGCACCCTCAACCCTAAATCCTAAATCCTACAAACCTTGAACCCCAAAATCCCAAAAAGCCCAAAGCCCTAAACCCGACAAATCTTGAACCCCAAACCTAAACCTTACAAATCTTGAACCCCAAAGCCCAAAAAGCCTTAAACCCTAAACCCCAAAAGCCCGAAGCCAAAAGCCCAAAAGCCCAAAGCTGGCCTCGAGCAGGTCGCCGGGGTCTTCCCGCTCTGCTGGCCTTCGCAGGGAGAGCTCCTCCAGGACCTCAGCCAAGGAAGCTCGAAACACTGCTGTTTAGGGTTTAGGGTTTAGGGTATAGGGGGTTTAGGATTTAGGGTCTAGGGTTGAGGGTGTAGGGTTTAGGGTCTAGGGTTTAGGGCTTAGGGTTTAGGGGCTGCACCGACGAGTTTGGCAGGATTTGGTGCTGGTAGAAGGGTGCTTTGAAGGGCTTCATGAGGCTTGTCTGCGTGGCTTGCTTCAGGGCTTACGGGCTTAAGACTTTTGTTCGGGTTCGACAGAGGGAGGTCCACTTAGGTGTTTGGGGTTCAAGTTACAGGAATTACATGGGGCAAAGGTGCAGGAGCTAAGACGTTTAGGGATTGGGGCTACGAAGAGCTATTTGCGGACCTTAACACTTAGACTCCCGTCTCTCGAAGTCATCTTATATAATCGGATTTTTTAAGATTATCTAGGTACTTTATCGGGAGATGACTTGTGGCGACGCTGCAAGAAGTGTCAAAAGTTGCCACCTGGGGCCGCCACGTCCGCCAAGGCATCGGTGGGGACCAGGTTAGGCATTCCCTGGGCTCAGGCTTTTGACACTCGCACTCAGACAGGCTTAGGGTTTAGGGTGCAGGTTCAGGGTTTAGGGGTCTGAGGGTCTCGTAATTGAGGGCTTCGGGGTTTTAGAGTTTCGGCTTTGTGCTCTCACAACTCAGACAACCCCAGGCGAGGTCTCGCGGTGCGTGGTCGGACCGCGTGGGCAGGTTTAGGGTTATAGGGTCACAAGGGAATCCCCAGGCATGATCCCAAGATCACGGCTTTCGAATGGCAGCGGAAACTGTGGGCCTTACAAAAAAATCCCTAGGAATCTAACCTTGACTAACTTCCGAAAACTCTGCAAACTGCTCGTCGAGTGAAGAGCGTGCTAGCAAACTTCCCAGGTCGAAATCGTGTGAATCAGAAGCCCGGCATCCTCTCCTGCATCAAAACTCTCACCAAACCCTAAAACCCCTAGAAACCCTAAACCCTGAAAACCTTGAGCCCTCGACCCCGAAGCTAGAGTAAGGAGCCAAAGACCTTCGGCCCTGAACCCCAAAGCCTAAAAGGCCTAGAGCAATGAGCAGATGGCAGGGAAAGCTGCATACTTTTTGGTGGACAGGGCTCGAGTGCTCCCGTGGAGTGGAGTCAGAAATGGCCGCCCTAAGAAACTCGGTCATCGATGGGAGACCTTTTCTGTCATAGCATCTGCTGAAGCACTCGCTGGTACATGGTATCGTAGTACATAGCATAGACGGATACCAATGCCTGTCGGCTGCTTTTTCAAAAGCTGTTTGAGACCCGAATGCTCCCTGAGGGAGATGCTCTGGACACATGCATCCTCATGCACCTCAGCAGCCGCTAATACAGTGAGAAGCGGTGTGACGCAGCAGCTACGCCTCTAGGCTCACACAGCATGCCACTGCAATTGGTGCCGGAAGCCCTAGGCTCAATATCGACCCGTACATTGCCTGTGTATATGTGTATGTGCATATAATTAAATAAACAACTATATAAATACACACACATACATACACGTGCCTGCTTAAGTTATAGGACTTGTGTCGAGGGCTCAAGCCCTGAGGATATATGCAACATCCTCATGGGCTTCTGGGCGTGCTGGGCTGTTGCAGGGCGCTCTGTGCCGTTCCCGACGGTCCCAAAACTGCAACCAGTGAGCCTTTGACATTCCTCACTGCGCTACCCGTTGCCAAACTCCGCGTCGGGGCTCCCTATTTTGGGAGTTCAGAACCATGGCCAGCTTTCTCTCCACATTTGTCCGATAGAACATTATGATAATCAAGAGAGGCCAAATATTTCAGGAAGGTGGGCAGCCGTGTATACTTTGAGTGCGGCAGATGATATACCGTAATTGTCGCACTATGTTGTGACGGCACAATAAAAGCTTTGTAAGGGCTCATAATATGTATGCATGCATACATTTCTAGCACTCGCGCTCGTCCAGGTCAGACGATGTTTGTAGATTTGGCTGCAGACTTACAAACATACTTACAAACATACATAGCACATGTGTATGTATGTATGTATATGTATATGTATATATATATATATACATATATATATATATATATCCATATATGTATGTGTCTTCGTGCAGCGCAATGCCAAGACACCTAGCATGTACTATATGCAGGTCTGTGAGGGCAGCGAGGAATTCGGCAAGCAACAAAACAGGAAACCAAGACCTTCGCGGTGTCCCTCGCAGGGCGCGAAGCCCTCGCTCAGAACACGAGGTCGTCATCCTTCTTGGTCTGCAGGATGCTAGGTGCCTGCATTTTGCCGGGGCCCTGTCTGGGCTCACGGAAAGGAGTTTCGGCGCTGTGGGGGGGTAGAGTCAAGATGACCAAGTTCACAGAGGTCTGACCAAAAGTCCACAGACACGCTACAGATCATTCCCCTGGAATACCCAGAAATCGCAGAAATGATCCGACTGAGTGCTGTCTCAGTCGGCAGGGTGGTCCAGTGCGCACTCCTATCTGAGTCCAGTGCGCACTCCTAAATCAGGGTCCA